AGCCGTCTGGTCTTGGTAAACATCTCCCGTCATCGTCATTCACCTTGATGTAGGGTATGTTGTCATGCACCGATAGCGGAATCTTGTTCGCGTTCTGGTCGATGAGGTATGGCAACTGATTTGCCGGCCATATGAATGAATACCCTTGTTCCATGCACCGTTTCCCGATGGAGAAGACTGATGGTGTGCTCTCCAACACGTGTGCCTCGGACATCATGGGTAGTTCATCCACATTGATGTCCACCATCTCTGATGTACTAGTTACACCATTCGCTGTCATGAAGCTCACGGATTTGGATCCTTCCTTGGTGGTAAGGCCCATGGCGTTGACTTTCTCTCTTGAGATCAAGTCGTGTCCACATCCCGTGTCCATGATGAAGCGTATCGGTGGTCCATCATACCTCTCCACAGCCATGAACATCGTGTCTCCCGGTATCGTGTAGTTGACAGAATCCTTCCTTACTACCTCGCTGGTGTTGAAGTCAGACAGGTCGACGTTCACCTCGATTCCTTCATCTTGAGTGATTTGTATCCATGCCTTGGCAATGTGTTCAGCAGAATATAGCTCCATCATCTTACCTTTGGCATGTGCTACTCGTGCAGCTATATTGTTCACTCTGAGGGTTCTTAGCGATGAAATGAGCTCGGTATCCACCTTCTGCACCTCATCCTTCTTCTTCCTGAGGGGACGGGTATTTAGCTCGTTACCAGGATCGCAGGTAAACGTGGTCACATTCGCCCGGTCATCGAATCTGACTTTAAAGCGAAGCGCCAGCTTACCTTGTTGTACGTTGGGAAGTGCGGGTTGCACGTCCTCGCCGTCACTCTCGATGTCTCCGCAAAGCATGAAGGCTGGCGCAGCCGGTTTGGGCTTGGCTTTGCCTTTAGCCTCTTGTTTTGTAGCAGGAGCAGCGTGATGCTGACGTCGACATTTGTCCCCGAACTTGCACGATCCTTTCTGCCAATTCCAACAGACCTGATCCTTCATTGGCTTAGGGCTAGTGCTCCTGCCACCAGGACTCTTTGATCTGTCACCCTTGAGGCTTTCTGGTTTCTTAGCAGAACTTTTGTGCTTCTCTTGGTGACTAAACTTGCATTTGTCTCCTCTAGAGCATCCGTTTTTCCCATGGAAGTGGAAGGCGCATCCTATCTTGGATGTATCTGTTGGAGTCGCTGACCTGCCACGATCCCCCTTTGGGCTCTTCGTGGTTGATCTTCCACGACCCTGCTTCTTGTCCTTCTTGTTGTGGTCCTTCGGATTAGCCTGAGGAAGTACCGGAGCGGCGTCCTTCGGTGGATCGGCCTTGGTATTCTTGGGTTTCGCCTTAGGGTCCTTCTTCTCCGCCGCTGGTGTGGCTTTCACGAGGTTCCCAAAGGCTTTTTCCCTTTCTTTCTTGTTTGTGGTCTCGATTGATTTCCGTATCCACTTCGCCATGATCTCTCGTAACTTCTGGTAGGTCTTATCCGGGTCCTTATCCAACATGTTATCGTACACAGACAAGTCTAACGCCATGACCTTGGAATCCTTAATCTTATCCCAAAGCAGGTTGCGAAGTGCTTTGTCAGGAAGCATATCATCCGCATCCATACCTGATATGATCTCATCCCACTGTCCAAGGAATCTGGAAAGTTGATTATCCCCAGGGAACTTTAGATCGAATAAGTGCTTGGATGCATACATCACATCGACGTTGTCGGCACTCCGGAAGCTATCGACGATCAACGCTAACATTTCTCGTCCCTTGACCATTCCAGGAGTTGTGCCTCTCGCACGTCTCTGCATCATCTGCCTCACCTTCAGTTGTACGTCATGAGATCTCTCACCTGCTGCGTGGATGATCGTATGTAGGGTGATACCTAGCTTAGCGTCTATGCTAGCGAATCTTGCTTCGCCTGATGTCTCGAGCAGAAATGGGTCATACGGTGATCTGAAGGCATCCGAGAGCCACTGGATCCAGTCTTCTTGTCTTTCGTCGCCCGATGCCGTCACGACTGCCGCTACAACCTGGGATTTCCAAACCTCCAGGTCGTGTATCTTGGGCCATGCAGGGATGTTGATCTTCTCGTGTTCCTTCCGAGATATCTTGGAGCCACCCGAGCTAGAGGATGAGGCGGCACCATGTTCGGTTGCGGCTGCATTCTCAGCATTCAAGCGCTCCTCTTCGTACCTTCTCCGGTACTTATTCCTCTCATCTCTGAGCCGTGCTGCATGCGCTTCGAATTCCATCATGTCCTGCTGGTTCTGCATCATACCTTCGTAGTACTCCATTGCCTCTTTCTCCTCGGACCTTAATGACTTTTCGGTACGTCCAAGTTCCGCTCTAAGCTTGGTCATCATCTCGTTCTCCACATTGGGTTCTGATCCCATGTCTGGTGGTTTCAACTCCAGTGCGACCTTCAGTTGTGCTTCACTTGCACTTGATTCGATCAATTCTTCCTGAAGACGTTTCAGCATCCTCTCTTTACGTAGAATGTCCTCTTCCAACATGTTCACCTTGACCTCGGCTTTCTTGAGTTCGGCGTTGGATGGTTGAGACGGTCGACCGGATCCTTGAATCCTCGCCTGTGTCAACTCCTCGTTCGCCCTCCTCAATTGCTCCCTGATGGCCATGATGAAACTGTCCTGATTATTAGATCGGTTGTTGAGCTCCTCATTCTCTTCTGATAACCATTTGATCTTGCTTGTATACATTGCTTCCCTCATCTCCATCTCTTCAGCATATTCGTGTTTGTTCCTGGCACTCTGCCTTTGTAGTCCAACTAACTCCTGTCTATACAGATCCCTAATGTTCTCAGCATCTGCGACTGCAGTCATGAGTTCGGTTACGGCTCGATCTCTTTCCGCCGATATAGCCTGGATCTCTTCCATGCCGATGTTCACAACTTGACTAACCATCTCTGCGCTGTTGCGATCAGCGTACTCCCCTAACTGGGTGAGACGATCCCGCATTGCCACACGATCAGTGTCAATCTGGTATTGCAAATCGTGTGCTGCTGAGAGCAAACAGTCTCTGGATTCTGTAAGTTGGGAGATTCTTCGTTGATTTCCATATCCTTCGACGTAACATTCCTCGAGGTGTGCCATCACTACTTCGTGGACTTCGGTCTCGTGTTGTATAATCTGGTTCTGTCTCTGCTCACATTCGACCATCCATGCGTTTTGGTGGTTCAACATATGCACTTCGGCAAGTAGTTGTGCACACTTCGCATTGAGGTCTCCATCGGCCCGTGCTAGTTGTAGGTTGTCAGTGCTTGCCCTTGCTCCATCTCCAGCTTCGCTGTCCGACGGTACTGGTACAGTTGACCCATCCTCCAATGCTAGCACTCTCACAGCTCCGGTGTCAGTTCTCCTCCTTGTCTCCCTAGGGCTACGGCCCGATCTCGGTGTCCCCCCCGGTGGTGTCGAGTGCGCTGACGGGGAACGACTTCGTGCTCTACCTGTCGCAACTTCTCTCACCACTGTCAGAGTCTCCGCTTCGATCGTACCTGGACTAGAGTTGTGGGATGCACTCATCCGATCTGCGGCCGCAGCAGCTGCTCCAAAGGATGCAGTGCTGGCGTCGGATTGGTCCATCTTCAGTGACTGAGGGTAACTGATCTATCCGATGCTTGTGCGTTTAGATGGTGTTGTGTAAGGCCGTAGCTCGTACCCAGCTCAAAGGAGTCTGGATACGGCTGATAACCTGCGAACGGATGGAAAGGTGTGCCCTGGCCCCGTTCTAGCCCTTAGTTCAACATGAAGCTCGCGCGCTAAAGCTCCTTTTTACCTGGTTGGGCACTTGAGCCAAAAGTATATGGCATGTACCTGTATAGCAACTATACTGGGACCTCATCCCTATTGACATTTCCCTTTCCAGCTGTCCGACGCACGCGTGTTAGTTGCGTGGCCATCCGGGCTCAACCAGAAACCCCGACCGGTCTCTTGCCGTGGCAGCGCCAAGGCACTGACCCGAGTCCTCGGATGGGAGTCCAACGAAGCCGGACCGACCAGTCCAACAGTCGAGTCCACCGAAGGGGGAGGGGGTCCCGAAGACCTCTCGAACGCTCCCGGAGTGCCTCTTTGATCAGTTTTGGGACACCCTGAGTTGTTTGGTAGTGTCTCTTCTGGGGGGGTCCCATATTCCCAAACACAGCTGCAAATACAGGAATGCTGTTGGTTGAAACATTACGTCTAGCAGCGCCCGTTCCTGCAGAAACGCGCCGGGTGCGATATGTCATCGGTGCTGTAAACATATGCGAAAACATGCATGCCAAAAATAATCCACGAACATTAAGAGGAAAACACTTGCAAGTTCTTTGGCGGGCCTCCTTCACATGTGAACACAACAACTAAATGCATGCTCAAAATGGTGATACATCAATAAATGGAAACAACAAATCAGCGCTCTGAACCATCCATGGACAAAAAAACATGGTTGGGCCAACAGAATCTATCTCCGACTGTCCATGAAACATCATGATTCGCAATTCGATCATTTGCATTGCAACATAGAACATGTCAAAACATGGCTTACAGGCTTACACGATATTCATAATATATATATATATATTATATACATCTACTGTACGTACAATACTTTTTGTTTCTGTTGGGGCCGCCCAGAATTCCACTGTCAAGTCTCCTTTGTCCACCTAACCACACCCTAACCTCAACCTCTGTGTGTCGAGCATCAGTCTTGACCGGAGCTTCCACCACGCCAGCATCCGGGAAGGACTGCAGATGGGCAAACGTGCGGGAATGACATGCGCACAACTTCATGTGATTTCAATACTCTAGATGCAAATGTGTTTAGCTTTTAAAAACGGAAAACATGCAGGTCCCTCAGCTTTACCATGTCTTTATTGCAAGCACCAAAGCCAATGAATGACACATTTGAATTGAACGGGCCGGAGCGCACTACTGCAAAGGGCGCATGACTGCACAGAGGTCTGAAAATCACAAAGCACAGAGGTTTAAAGAAAAATTGATACTCCAAACATCCCCACAGTGACGCCACAAGCTACAGCGGATGGATCCAACGATGAGACGTAACCCGTTCTTTCGCAACCCTCCGCCCGGCCTCCACGGGATCTAGTGTGGCACGCCATGCGTCTTTCAGCGCGCCGAAGGGCGTCACACCAATGCAGGGCACCGTGCGGCGCGCATCGTGGCCTGGGAACGTTCGGCGCAGCGGTGGGGCGTTCGGCGTCCTGTTGGGGGCAACAGGGATTCGGACGTTGAACCAGTTGGACTTGCTCAAAACGGACGGACGGGTTCGGAAAGTTTTGGGAGCTAACAGCTTTTCACTTGTCTCCCTTCTTGTCTCACCTTGGGTTGAAAGCTAACGGCCCTCCTCTTGATGCGCAAGAGTCGATGCATGGCTCGACCCACCAGGTCCATGACACCGCTGTCTGTGCCGCCTGACGCCGCGTCGTCGTCCCGTTGGAGGATGGATCTCTCAAGAAATGGATGTATTTGGAATAGGGAGACCCCGGGACCGGGGTAGGACCAACAAGGAGAACATGCAAAAAATAGGAAAAACATGAAAAAACAGATTGATTGGACATGTCCATCGTCCCAGCATCCTGGCTGGAACTGAACGGGATGGGCATGGGATGGAATCTTCATGCCATTCATCCTGGAGGCACCAAAAAAGGCTTCCTTGGTTGATGGATCCTCTGGATTTTACTGAGAAAGGTTGCAATCTGGAGTTGTCTTCCTGCCAGGCCTGCATACCAGCGTTCGTCCACAGCATTCGAACGACCGAACTGGGTTTCGAGTCCAAACTCCCCGAAGCTCCCAAGAACTCTGTTCTTTTCCACCTCCCAACGTTCTTTGGGACACCAAATCCATCACCTGGTGGCTATCTGCCCAACATCGCTCTGCCTGTGATGACCCAGCCATGGGTTTGCTTGGCCGCGCCCACGAGCTCCTCGCAGAAGTGAGCCTCGACCTGGCGAGGCCGGTGGCGAAAGCCGTAACCCCAGGAAGCTCCGTTGAGGGAAACTCCACCTGTTCCAAGCTGGTCCCCCTTCTGGAACACTGGGATTCCATTCAGAAAAAGCTTCATCGTCGCAATGGGATTCGTTTCAATCTTGCCCCACCCCTGGCCGAAAGAGCTCGACTTGAGACATCGCCAAAAGCTCGACCCCGGACCAAACGGAAACCTCCCAAGGAGGCCCTCCACAAGCTTGGCGCACCAAGCTTCTCTTGTGCATCTTTCACGGTGAATTCGACATCACCATCGCCACTTCTCATAGCAACTCCATTCTTGTTCAAATCCGGCTAGCTCAACCCGGTCAGCCTCAACGCCCCACGGTTCCCACGCTTCCCACGGTGCCGGCTCACCGCGGGGTCCAAGTTCATCTCCCCAGCGCCGCCCACGATGCTCAGCAGGAGCCGTGGAGCCTCCAAGTCCCAGACCTCAGCCGCCCAACGGATGGAACGAAACGCACGCAGAGGAAAGCGGCGATGGAACGGGCACCACGTTAGGGTGGAAATTGGTGAATCAATTGGGGTGGAAATGAACATTCATGATGTTTGGAGAAGAGAGAAGCACTTGCATCTCTATGATATCTCACAATCATGGCTAGAATCTGGCTGTTTGGGCCAAGACCTGCTGCGCCGTGGTGTGACCTGCGGTTGTTGGGAGAGATCGGCCGATGAGCCTGACGGTTGGGACAGAATGACGGGTTTCTTTTATTGATCCTGCCTTGTTGCCCGATCGACTTTGGGCAGTGTACGGGAGGTCTATAACTCTGAGTGGTTGAAACCCGTTCGTTCCTTTGTGTTCCGGGCCCCGAGACAAAGCCTCCAAAAACTACAAGGGCCAGTCCCCAAAGACGACCTGGTTCATCATGACAGGCAACCACGACAGATTTCATCGTGGTTGTTTGGAGTTGGCACGCGAAAGACTCTCAGGTCACTCTCTGCGGTTGGCGAATATCCCTTAGTTGGGGTTGCTTGGTTCATGTTACTTCATGTAGGTTCACAAGGTCATCTTTCGTGGTGGTTCAATATCCCTCGCACTCCAACCATGATGTCAAACTGTACCTGATATGACATCTGCATCCGAGCGACACTGGGGCTTCGCATCACCATGTTCACAAACTTCCTTGAGTCGCAGGACAACTGCTCACTCCTGGTAAGACTGTAAGACTGTAAGACTCAGTTGATACAGCCGGATTTCGTTGGCAAACCAACATGGAGTCACCTAACGGCGACAGGACTTGACCATCACGTGACGTGGTGTGTTTTTGTTTTTCCTGCATCCTTTCTGGCAATGCATTAAATGGCCTGAGAAGTTGAAGACCAGTGGTCTATGGGTTCTGATAGCTGAAGGTAGATCATGCTGGTCACCTATGTGGATTTAAGACATGATGAGAGCTGCTAGGTCTGGTGTTAGGTGTTGAGCCCTCCTTCAACCCCAGGCGCCTCAAATTGAGACTTAAGAAGTACAGTAAGAAGTCTGTCACTAAGACACTATTGAACTATTGTTGGTGAAGACAAAGTAGTGAGAAAAGTCAGGAGGGCACATTCCACTTCTATACATATATAGTATCACAGTATCATCTGGAACAAATGACAAAGGCTTACTGGGCGAAACTGTGGAATTCCACAAGTCTCAGACTGCTCTTGCTCTTCAGAGCTTGGACTTTTGATCCAAAAGTATCGCTGCATTGGCCTTGGCCTTGTCTGTTTTTTGTGTTTGCTTGTGATTATCTGATAGTTACTGTAAAGAGTACAACAAACATCTGCTCAATAGTACTTGTTTGTTTATTCACTATCTGGACTTTATTCCTTCCTGTCTTGTTGAACCCTTGGACTGTTCAAAGGTTGTCTCGAGACAAGCTGCTGCGGCTGTGTATCGGGGCCCACGATGCAGTATCTGGTCATCAGCCCACTCTGGTACCTTGGCTGGGAGCTGCAAAATCCCTGGCACCCCTGGCCACATACTGTGGATATGGCCACACGAACGCCATGCTGGTTGAAAAGGCAAAAAGGCCACACGAACCCCAGCTTGGTGAGATTCGGTTCTGGTCCTGCTGGATTTGCTGGTCTTTTCCACGCTCTCCTGCTCCGAGCGCTGTCTGAGCACTGTGCGTCCCCCACAACACGTTTTCACACGAAACCCCAACTAACTGCAAAACACTCCTTGCGACGCACATGTGTTGGTACAGCAGTGTGTGTGTCTTGGGGCACGTGGAACCTAGCAAAGGACAGCAAACAGAGTAGAGCAACGTAGCAAAAGCCAGCAAGTAGACGCCGACGAGACACAGCAAACAGCAAAGAGAGTAGAGCAAAGTGGTGAAACCAAACGCATATATGTTACCTTGGAATTGAAATGGCTCTTTGTCCATACCTGACTGACCTGTTCTTGCCCCCCTAAGTCAATGTAAAGTCCCTTTAAGTCCGGCGCGTGTCCCCTTCGTCCATCACAGAAAGGACGTCAGCCGTGGCACTGGATCTCCCCGAACTTGGGCAAACTCTTCCTGATCCGAATGGATGGTGTCGGGAGAAGTCATCAAGGCTGAGGGATCTTCAACACCAAATTGTTCCCCAAGAGCATGTAGGCCGTAACTTGTGAAGTTGGTAGTAAGAGTTTGCATAGTAAGAGCCAGGCTGCCAGGCTCTATGCTTGATTTGAAGTTGACCCAGTTCCTGAATTCTTGCACATGTCTGCGTGATTCACGGTGGCCAAACGTCAGTTGCACCGAGTGTCACCGCCCAAACGCTCGCTTGGTGTCCTGACATGTCCCGACAAATGGAGTTGGAAATTCCTGGGGTGTATGGAACACCGATTTGTCGGATTTATCCTAAATAAGTCTTTCTTTCTTACCTTATCCAGATTCAGAACAAAAGGGGCTATGTTAATGGAAACGCGATTTCCTCCAAAAGACCATCAAGCTTTGGTGCAAGCGAATCCAACATAATTCAATTTGTGGGGGGAGTTAAGCCATACGCCCTTCGGCCACAAAAAAGAGGCTCTGCCGGTCCGCTGCTGTTGTAAAACGGCGACTGTCGTCCGCGCGACCGCGCTGTCGTTCCAAGCTGAAGCCGGGCATCCGTAGCCGCGCTGCTAAGGTGCAAACGGAGCTCTTGGAGACCTCAAAGCGAGGATTTCGGATCAGATGGGATCAGTGGAATTTGTGGATTTGCAGAGAGTGGAACCATGAAGCGGAGGGGCGGCCCACATTCATGTTTTTTTTTCCAGTGGAAGATCGTAGTACACCAGTTGTTTTCTGTTTTACCAGTTTACAACACAGTCAGAAATCTTTCAACCAACAGTACACGCTCTAAAGGAAGAACCTTTCGGTGACCAAACCCTTCAAAAATGGATGCCCGAACCCATTTGTGCAGCATCTTTGGATCTCAGGACCTTTGGGAATTGTGACTTCAACCTCCAATGACCTTTGGGGCCAGGTACTAGGAGCTCCTGGCATCGCTACTAGGAACAAGGATGCTACTAGGGGCTCCTGGCATCGCTACCAGAAGCAAGGACGCTACTAGGGCCCCTGTTCCAAAGGTGTTAGCAGGGCCTGCTTGTAATCCATCCCTGCGAACGCCAAATAACTGGCACCAGTCTACAGGGTCTGAGGGTCGATTTTGGTTTATGACTTTTGGCGGGTGTTGGACAGCACACATACCTCCTACGCCTGCTCATATTTGACTCTTGGTCCAATTTTAAGTCGACCTGATCAAACCAAGCACCCACCCACACCCACCCAACCCCATCAAACAAATATCCTCCTGGTAACTTTTGGGATGGTCTGACGCTTTCAATTCCTGGACAACCTCACAGGGCCATGTTGCTGGACAACCCAAAAGACTTTAAATCCTTTCATGCCTTTGGGGTTTCAATCCGAACAAACGCACGATTACTGACCGTCAGGTCATTCAGGCGCCCTTGAAAATGGCGCCTTGGGCGAGCCCGCTCTCAGAGCTGGGACCTGTAGACCAGTGGTTTCAGAGTAGATGGCACCCGCACCCCAACAGTCTTGTAGAGGGTTGTTCAATGTTGTACGTTTCATGTTATATACAATATAATACAAGCATATAATCATAAACCACCAAACTTGGGGTAACTTGTGCACTGTGAAACCACTGGGCCTCCCAAACCAACGCTGTCGAGCCCCCGAACGGTCCGGTGGAAGCTGAGTTCCATCTGCGCCACGTCCAAAGGCCCCGCCTGAACGAAACAGGCGACTTCGGCGTACGACGGTCTGGGCGTGACGCTTTGAATCTACACTCGACAAAACATCCATACTTCTGGGGGCGTTTTTTATGATGTGTTTTTTCCCCAACTAGTGTGGACACACTGGGGGTTCTTACGGCAAGTGTAAAGCAGGTGTGCTTAGATAGGTGTGCCGCGCGGGCGTGTGCGGCTAACTCGCTGCTATTTACGGTACGTTCATGCCTGTCGACATCGTCAATGTGCATTTCGACTGCGCAGGCTCACTGAATTTGGGTGTCTGCGGCGGGTGCTTCTAACGACTTCGCTCTCGTTGTGGTGCCGTGCGCATTTTTGCACATGGTGGTCACTTGTCGTGGCAGGCCCGGGGGAACCTCGTGTTTTTCGTGGCAGGTGCAGCACTTTGGACATGGTGGTGATCGTCGAGGAGCTCAGATTTCGTGCCAGGTGCGGTGAATCGTGACTTTTGGACATGTGCTCGTTTGCGGATTTCGTGGCAGGCACAGCACTCTGTGACCCTCGATGTGCAGATTTCGTGGCAGGTGCAGCACTTTGTGAACCTCGAAGTGCAGATTTCGAGGCAGGCACAGCACTTGGTGAACCTCGAAGTGCAGATTTTGTGGCAGGTGCAGCAGTGCAGATTTCGTGGCAGGTAACGCACTTGAAAACCTCGAGACCTCGAAGTGCAGATTTCGTGGCAGGCACAGCACTTTGTGAGCCTCGAAGTGCAGATTTCGCGGCAGGCACAGCTCTTGGTGAACCTCGAAGTGCAGATTTCGTGGCAGGTGCAGCACTTAGTGAACCTCGAAGTGCAGATTTCGTGGCAGGCGCAACACTTTGTGAACCTCGAAGTGCAGATTTCGTGGCAGGTGCAGCACTTGCTGAACCTCGAAGTGCAGATTTCGTGGCAGGTAACGCACTTGAAAACCTCGAAGTGCAGATTTCGTGGCAGGCACAGCACTTGGTGAACCTTCCAGTGCAGATTTCGTGGCAGGCACAGCACTTGGTGAACCTCCAATTGCAGATTTCGTGGCAGGCGCAGTACTTTGTGAACCTCAAAGTGAAGACTTCGTGGCAGTCGCAGTACTTTGTGAACCTTGAAGTGCAGATGTCGGCGCAGGCGCAGTCTCACTCTCTCACTCTGACTCTCACCCTCACTCTCACTCACTCACACACGCTCACACTTACACTCTCACTCACACTCACTCTCACTCACACTCACCCACACTCACTCACACTCACTCTCACTCACACTCGCGCTCACACTCACACTCACTCACTCTTCCACTCTCACTCACACTCACATTCCCTCACACTCTCACTCTCCCACTCTCGCTCA